GAAAATTTTCGAGAACAAATCTAATAAATATAGATATCATGAGCTATTTTCAGTTGTCCATTTTTTTCAATTCCAAAAGCATAGTTCTAACTACTAAACTAGAGAACAAATTTAACCAACATTTCCATCACATTATAAGTTTCAATAATCAGTAACAATATAATAATAAACTCAAGTGAACAAATAATATATACCAAGTGTAAAATAAATAACAAAACTGCAAATTAAGTTTCAAAAAAAAAAAGGAACTGTAAATTAAAAAAAAATCACCTTTCTTTAAGATGTTGCAAACTTGCTTTCTAGTACACATATAAAAAATGTTTTTATTTTTGCTGAAGCAGAAAAAAAAAAATGTTTGTTTGTTATTGGAGATGTCGGTTTCTTCTATCTATTCAGAGTGTGGCTCGGTCCATGACCTTGGTCTCACCCCCAGCTTGAAATACAACACCATTTCCAATGCCTCAAAGACCTTACTTCCATCTAAAACCTTGTTCCACGCTCCACTCACTACGCAGTAATTGTTGTTATACGGTTTTCGGTGATGATTCATGTGTTGTGTCCGTGAAACGAGTAGCCCAGTGTCTTGCAACACCACCGCGAGAGGTGGAAGCTTGCTCTTGGTTCCATGAGCCCAAGCATGGAATTGCGGACAAAACAATACGCAAAATGCAAACGCGCTTACAAAGCCATGAACCACGTGGTCACTAAACGCAAGGTCTAGTGGGAGAACAGTCAAAGTTGTGGTTCGAGCCAGAAAGTGTAAATTGTTGGCAAATTGCCGTCTGGTGATTGTCCAAGGCGACTTGTGGTGATCTTGAGAATCTTCGACATGGGTTCCTACCAAAGGCGTTGACTCATCGCCGTAGTTATCGACGGCCCAGTGGTAGACACCAGAGCCTAGATCTGCTAACATGTACCCTGAAAAACCAGCTAAAGCTGGTTCGAGCCAAAGATGAGACGCAAACCCTCCAATGATAGATTTGGCAAAGGAGACTAACACGGTGGTGCAGCCCGTTGCAACCCAAAACCGGTGGGTCCATGTCGATTGCAGAGTTGGGTCACTGGACAGAGGAGGATTCACAACCACAAGCTTTACACTGTTAGGGTGAGACGTGGTGGTTGTTGTAATCAAGCAAGTGACACGGAGAATCGACGGATGGTGATTTGTTGGGATATTGTTGGTGATGGGACTTGGAGTGCACTTGGCTTGAAGTGGCACAGCCATTAAAACAGAGTAAAATTTCTAAGTCTTTTTCAGCGACAGAGAAAGAGATAACGCTGAAGTTATTATCTTGTGGTGTACTTTAGAGATGCGTGTGATCACTAGCGCATTAACAGATGTGAATGAAACTTTTAGAAACTTCCCAAAAATTGGATTCTTGGTTCCTAATGTTACCAACTAAACCCCAACATTTTAAAACGTACTATTCAATCCAGATTTCTATTCGATTTTTCTTGTTTCAGATTTTGTTTAAAGCAACTAAATCTAATTATAATAGCAGAAAATATATTTTGGGAAATTTGCTAAATTGACCTAGTTTGAAATTGGGAATGTCTCAATAACCTTTATACACATATCATTTTGTCTCAATAACCTTTGATATTATCATAACCCAATTTTAACCTTCAATATTAGTAAAAATTAATTTTTAAAAATATTTTTGGAATTTTTTTAGAAAACAGAATATTCAGTTTTGCGGTTTCCTTTTTTAACATAAAAAAATATATCAAACTTAATATTAAATATCAAACTAAAAAAAATCAAGGAAAAACTAGCCTCTCTCTCTTCCGACATCGTCTTCTCCGCCTCTCTTTCTTCGTCGAAGCTGCGTCTGCATCTTTTATCGGTCTTTCTGTTCTTTACAAGTTTACAAGATCAGGAAAAAGAAGAGTAGATTTAGGAAAGATTTAACGAATAAATCGTTTTTGGAAACTATATAATTCACGATTTATTGATCCTAGATTTAGGGAATTAAAACTAACTTCAAAACATCAACCGATAAGAAAAAACGCAAAATGTGTCAGCATGTGACCTCGAGGTATGGGTATTACCGTTTCCGAACCAAGTGAGTTGTGTGTGTTTAATCGAACATTGAAGCAAACGAAAACATTATATGTTTTCTGTTTTAATAAAAAAATTGTAGGATTCGGAAAAATGCAAAATGTGCCACCATGTGACATCAAATTCGTGACCTCGAGGTATGGGTATGTGCGTTTTCGAACCAAGTGAGCTGTGGGTTAGTCGAACAATGAAGCAAACGAAAACATCATATTCATATATGTTTTTCGTTTTTAATCAAAAAATTGTATGATTCAAAAAAATGCAACATGTGTTTTTTTCGAAAAAAATTTCAAAAAAACGTTTGAAAAAAAAAACGTCAAAAATATTTTTCACGAAAAGAAGGAAATCAGGAAGGAGAATAATAGATTTAGCAAATATTTACAGAATATTACGTTTTTGGAAAGAAAATAACTCACAATTTAATGGTCCTAGATTTAGGGGATTAAACTAACTTTGGTAGAATATATTTTCTACCATTTGGTAGAAGATAGAAGAAGTGGTAGATAAAATGTGTAGAATATGTATTTTGCGTATCATAGAAGACAGAGTCATTGATAGAAATAGTATTATGCGGTTGGTAGTACTGAAGCAAAATGGTTGAATGTGCAATCTGCGATATGTAGAACTTGAACAGTTAGTAGAATACTTCCTTCTACCACTCATAGATTTATACAAATTCGCAGAACACCTAATCAGATTCGACCATGGTAGAAGAAAAAATAAATAATTTTCTGTCATATTTTTTTTTGAAAAATTTATAAACATGAATCTATATGCCTTGTACATTACTCTTTTGTATTTTCCTGATTTTATAAAATTATGAAAACCATTTATTTGTAATTTTAAATATTAATCAAAGAGTATTGTAGGAAAAATTTAGCAGAAAAAAAACAAAGGTTATTGGGACACAACCAATTTCAATGTCAGTCAATTTAGCAAAARTCCCAAAAAAGATTTGGTGATAGAGACTTAGCTTAGATTCTGATCTACGAAATCCAATTWTAAGAAAAACTTGATGTTCTCAATGTTTTCCACTTTTCCTTTTTTTGTTTTACTCTCATATAACCACGTTCAGTTGGTTACGCTAATCTCATTTATTTGTGACCAAAACACATTCATACGAGTTATAAATAAGATAAATGTTGAATAAAAATATTGCTACAAATTTCACTTTACTAAGAAAAACCTACTACAAAGAAAGCTCTTTAACGAAATGACTTCATGACACTTCGCCAGCAAAAATTAAAATTTAAATTTATTCGACTTGGAACTTGGAAGCTAACGAATAGTGTAGACTAACAATCACTCTTGCTTTCAGTT